TATTTTGAGTAGCCTTGTGTAATCACGCGGCGGTAATACGCCTAAGTCTATCTCTACGATATAATTATACGTATTATACTAGTATTTCTGTAGAAGAAGATTGGGGGTGTTACATAGGCAATAGTTACCTGCTAGGTGAGAAGATGCTGCTAGACCAAGGGAATTTGAACCTCCAGATAGTTCACCTTGTCCAGTAGCAGATTGTTTATCCAGATAATGCATCACTTGTTTGTGTTGCTCCTGAGTGACTGTCGGATTGACCATATCACTAGAGTCATGTTCCTGAGAATCATCCACCATGACAAAAGCTGCTACTCTCTTGTTCTTGGCCTTGAAATCAACTGGATATCCATAGAGCTTGAAGCATTTATCTCTGGTGTGATTCCTCATTTTGCAGTAATCACAGTATAACTTGTTTCTTGTATAGACAAAATTTCTTGTGTTTCTAATACCAGAATTAGATTGTTGTCCTGTTGCTCTTACAGAACCAGAATTTTGCTGAGTTTGTTGAAACTTATTATCATTGAACCTCTTTACATAGAAAGCTGCATTATCAGATTATTCTAATTTCTGATGTTGCTCAAATTGATGTGAGTTTCTTCTTGCAACAATAATCCATATGCCTTGGAAACAATTGGCAATGGATTCATCATCAAAATAGTACTCTTAATATGTGAGTACTTGTCACACACTTTCATCAAAAAATGAATCAACCTTTGATTTTGCTGAGACATAAGAAGTTGTTGAGTTAGAGTGCAGCTGCAACCAGTACAAATACAAGCAGGAAAAGGATCTAGTCCCTCTAATTTATCCCATAGTTGCTTAATTCGAGTGAAAAACCCAAGAATACCTTTAGATTCAGTCTGAGAAATGTCTGCTAATTGTTGCTGGATTGAGAACAATTGAGGTCCAGATGATAGACTAAATCTCTCATCAAGATCAAGCCATATTTCTCTTGTTGTTTTCAGATACAAAACACTTCGAGCAATTGAAGCATCAAGCGATTTCAAAAACCATGAAATTACCAGATTATTGCATCTAGTCCAGATCTTGAAATTCTGTGCATTATTTGCAGGTTGCTTCAAGCTTCCATCAACAAAACACAATTTGTTTCTGGCTGATAACGCAATGGTCATAGAACGCTTCCAATCATTGAAACCTGATCCATCAAATACGATATTCACCAATTTTGTAGTTGTTAGATCAAAATTACTCAGGAAATATACAGAGTTTGGATTCTGTGTAATTAGATCATTTTCAGAGATTGTATCGACATTTCGAGGTGCCATTTTTGATGATTTGATTGAAGAAAATCAAGAAGAAATCAGAATTTTGTTCAGATTTGAACAAAAATGAGAAGACAAAAGGTCGAAGAAACAAATCAGAGATTATTATGAGGAAAGCAATTTCAGCTCTGATACCATGTTGAAGTTTAGAATATGAAATTCATCTTCTGCAACAATGGCAGAAGAATGTAGAGAGAAAAAAAAAGAAGAAGATGATTGAAGAGAGAAAATTAGAGATTATTATTATGATAAAGTTGTTATTACAATAGCTAGAGAGGGTTTATATACAAGAGTTTGTTACGATTGTAACAACTTTCATAACAAACTTTTCTAGTGCTAACAAAAATGCTGACTAGGAGTATCTAGGCTAGAATGTTGTGTTGTTGTTGACATGGCTTCTCTTGCTGAGCTTGAGAGCTAAATATTCCAACAAAATCATATAAGGGGCAACTGCTTTCTTAGTCTGATTTGAACCTTTAGAGTATGTGTATTAGCTTGAAAATACATATTGAATACACCTTATAATCGGGAAAACACCATGTAAATAATATGACCACAATCCCATGATTTGTCATAATAAGTCTGAACCGCCCTATTAAGAATTTTGATATTTAAATTGAATCTTCTCTTATTTAAAACGAACATTAAACGAATATTTGTAATATAGAGCATATTGGTCTTACAGTTTTTGTGCATATTATGTTGCTCATATTCTTTATTTTAAATCAAGTACTTATGTCAAATCTTTGACATTCGAAAAAGGTTTGCACACATTGACTCTTTATACGTTTTGGACCAAAATCCTTAAAATACACAGTATTTCACAAAAAAGTTAAATCGAACACTTAAACACGTACCTGATACCTGTAATGTTGAGACTGAGCAACATAATTTCTGTTGTAGTCCCAAGAGCAGTATATTATGTTCGATTTTACTGTAGCTGCCAATCCAAATACAAAGTATGAATGAGTAGGATTTGTAGATTGATACACCTGCTGATCCAATTACTTCGCCGCAGGCTTAGGCATGTAGCACAAAATAATGGCTTTAATATGATTGAATAGTAGATTTCCAGTGACATTGACATGTTGGATTCTTCTTTCTTAGAATAGTAAAACAACTTTGTCCAAAAAAAAAAAAAACAAACAAAAAAAAAGGATAGTAAAACAATTTATTTAGTCCAATGCTTAATTCTACCAATTATTATCTCAATGATCAAGAATTTAATGTCTAATGTGGAGCTTAAGATCTTGTATGGGAATGATCTGGCAAATCCTCTGCCTCTCTCGATTAAACGCCCTAATTCAAAGTTTGGTTACTATAGATATTTGTAATTTAGGCAAGTCACATAAAATCCAAGGGTTAGAGATGGATCTTATGGGTAGATCTTACATGAAGTACAAGTTACCCCATTACTCCGTATATTTTTAGGGAAAATAATTTTTTTTTTAATCTAAAAAAAAAAACAGCAAGAGAGCCACATAGCCCTTACACAAAAGGTGGCTATATTTTCCCTTCATACAATTTATGGTAAGACTCTAGCTAAAGCCCATTCTATAACCCGATATAGTACTTCGTATAAAATAACTTCAAATATAAAGGTACTTATCTTTTGAAATATCAATTGCCTTCGTATTTTTTTTGGTGTTTGGAGAGCCACAAGGGCAAGGGTGAGAATTAATCTCAAGATCCTGGAATCGGGAGGGAAGCTCTTACCACTTGAGCTATCCCTCATTCTCGATTGCCTTTGTATTTTGAGGTTACTCTAATTGTTAAATTTTTTTTTCTCAATGTAGCCAAAGCCCATTTTATAACCCAACACGTTGTAAAGTATTAAAAAGTAAAAAAATAAAATAAATAAATAAATAAAATAAAATAAAATAAAAATTTATATATATATATAGCTTGCAACAAAAAAGATTATTGTAGACCAAAATTGACTTTACGCCTAAAGATTGTAGGTATCGTTAATTCATTTTACATAATACATTGATGAGAATATTTGTACAAAGTTAGGACCACTTTTTAGCTTTGCCATGAGTGGTGATCACTCGTATACTAGGATGCACGGAAACGGATACGGACACGATACGGACACGGGAAAACGGCAATCCTAAAATAGGGGACACGGGTACGACGTATAACAAGGCATATAATATATTAAAAAAAACGAGAATTTGACAACTAATTCAATAAAACACTAAATAATTAGCCTCAAAACACACAATTTTAATTAAACAAGTAAATGAACAAAGCGTACGGACATAGTCGGATACATATCAAGAAACCATCAAACCAGACATGTCTTAATAGTACTCTTCAAGTAATCAAACAAAACTAGAAACATAACACAAAATCAAACATCTCATCAAGTAATCAACAAAACTGTCAAAACACGGTGGTGGGCGGTGGTTGTCTGGCTGACGACGAACAACAAATTGAATTATTGAAGCAATTGAATTTCAGAAAATCAGAAGTTCTTACACACTTACACTGATTAAAACCCTAAAAAATTCCCCAAATTAGCATTACTCGAATTCACTTCAGAATCACAGCAATTGTTGAATGGCAGAAATTGAGCTCCAGTAAAGATAACAATGGAGCTCAATTGTTGAATGGCAGAACACCAAGAAATAAGCACGAAAAGGCTGAAATTGAGCTCCATTAAAGACAACAATGGCGGAGACTCAGAAAATGAAGACCGATTAAGTTCTCTCCCAGACTCCATTCTCACCGACATTCTCTCACTTCTCGACATCCAAGGATGCATATTCAGAACTTTAATTGAATTTTTAAAAAAAAAAAGTAGAGAAGAACCATACCTGGTGGCTGACACGGACGACGGGCGACAAGGTGGGCGGTGGAGTGATAGGTGGTGGCTGAGGACGAGCAGGCGAACAGCAAGGGCCAGGCCAGCAACTCCAGCAACCCCCGCAACAATGAGAGATGAAGGCCACGAGCAGCAAGGGCCAGGCCAGCAACCCTGACAACCGGCAAGGAGGCGAGTGGCGGTGACGGAGACAGCAAGCCGGCGGTACGGTGAGACCTACAAGTCGGCGACTGAGCAAGTGAGCAGCAAGGGGTTCAGTTGAGACTTGAGAGGATTGAGAGTTTGAGAACTGGAAACTTGGAAAGAGGTAGAGAGGCAAAGCATAGGAATTTAGGTATTTCGCGTGTCCATACCAAAACGGCCCGTGTCAGCCCAAGACACGGCCCGTGTCCAAAAATCAAAAACGGTTAAAAAAAATCGGACACGGTTTTCTGCGTGTCGGACACGTGTCGCCCCGTGTCTCATCCGTGTCCGTGTCCGACACGCGTGTCGACTCGGACTCTTCAGATTTTTGGCGTGTCCGTGCATCCTTGCTCGTATACGAGTGAATTATTGTTATACAAGTGGTCCGCAATGGGACATTACTAGTTAGACTCCCTATTTAGTAAAAGTTTCAACTACCATAGTTACTATATTTCACTCGTGACTCACTCCAATTATGGTCCAATTTTTGTATTTGGTCCTGCGGATTGAATTGCGTGCTAAGTTGATATTTATTGCGAGTCGTAAGGCGTTGGTTTTATGAGATATCATATCTAGCTTTTATGAGATATATCTTTGCTTTTACTCCAATATGAAGAGAATTTTGTTTCCTGATCAGTGATCACCCCACAAGGGTTAAGTTGTACTGTACTTGGATCTCAGCAAACTTTACGCCGGATCAATTAAATCTGTGTACGCGAAATATACATGAAGGACCATATTGACATACAAAACCATTTACATTCATTCACATAAATGTTTGCCAACAAAATGGGTTGAACAAGAGACACGTAATTACATTTCAGAGCGCCAAAACCTAGAATCTATGTTTATATCTACATTTCTTTTAGCCATTCTAGGTCCAAAATACAGGAATACAAGAGAAGCAAGCAAAAAGGATCATCATCCTCACTTGTCAATCAATCCATTTCCTCCTCACTGGACATAAATGTGGAATCCTGGAAATCTGCACTGCTAAAAGTATGCTCCAGACCATCTGTAGCAGTGGTTTTACCAAAATTCCTCAAGCCGACAGTTCTTGCAGACCTTTCAGTAACTGATGTTAGTCCCACTGCTGCAAAGCTGTTAACAATGGCATTAACATCACTGATCCCACTGTACAGACCTCGGCTTCCAGCAACAACAAAACCTTGCTTGTCCTTATCATTCAGAACACCAGGAAAAACCCCCATCAAAGAGGCAGAGGACTGGCTGCTTGAGCTTCCAAGCAACAACCTCAAGGTCTCCCTTGCACCTTCGTCCACCATTGATTCACTCTCAGAGATCATTGGACCAACCAATTTGGGATACAATGGTGGTATGCTGGTCGCAATACCAGGCCCTGCGCTCACCAAATACCCTTGGCCAGAAGAGCAAACATCGACAACAGGAATGTGCACAATTGGGTCACACATTAGGGGTGTAAAGGATTGAAACTGTGAGTTTTGCGTAGAAAAGGAAAGCCTTGACAAAGGATCTGACAAGAAAGCAGGGAATTCAAGAGATGGAACACTTGCCAAGTCAAGTGGCGGAATTTGTGAGAGCATGCTGTGGGATCCTGTGGCTGGTAATAGAGTGGAGAGTGGTGGTAGTGAGAATGGTTCGACATACGGAGTCGGAAGTTTGGAAATTGATGCCACAGATGGAGAAGTGCAGGGAGGACACCAACAGTAGTAGGGGGAGAATAGAGAGCCAATGGGAGGGATTTGAGTTGTTGCGCTTGAAGACTCCGGAAGACAGCCATTCCCAAGTGATTCCAAAAAGCTCACTGGAGAAACTGTGTTGGTTGCAAAAGCTTCAGAAGACTTGCCCTTGTCAGAAAGATTCAGAACTGGCTCATTCATGAATGAGCTGTCAACAACAGGAAGATGGAGGTCTCCACGTCGCCTTAGTTTCTCTCTTGAGGTAACTCTCAAGGAAGTCAGAACCCTTGGCAAACCTTCTTTAAACGAACTGGGCCGCGGGCTCAGGCTTCCTAGATATTGTGTGTGCCCTTTCACTGTTTGACCACTACACAGTCTAGTACGAAGAGGCCTCACAGCAGTTGATGAAGAATGAGCGTTCAGACCTACTTCAAAGTTATCTGATCTTTTGTCGGTCCAGGGAGCAGACAAAGCAGTGGAAGAAGCTTGAAAATTGTTGACACTGGGACCAACAAGATAGGAGCGTAGGTGAGTTGCAAAGCACTCAAGACGCGATTCACTGATGCCAGTTAATTCAGCCAATGTTGGTTTCCTCTTCAGCAAATCCTTCATCTGGTGCACCACCAATAGAAAAATCACTGTCCACATTAGCAATGTATCCATATAGCAATTACTCTAGATCTTTCACATACTGCAAATAATGACTACTGCACAAACAATTTACATAAGCATATTCAACAATTCACATACCTTCCAAAGCAAGTCACTACCAAGTAATTTTGATTTCTCAGAGCACCAAAAGTAAAAAGGTTCTCCATCAGGAAGCTTCATCACAAAAGATCGACCGGACTGATCTGCAGGTATTTCCTCAACTATCACAGCAGAAGACTCAGATGTATCACTTAATGTCGCCAGTCTTTCAGTTTGGCCATTATCTCCCACAAATGAGATGCGCAAATCAGATGATGGAAGAAGAGTGAGGTTCAAATTTCCCCTGTAACAAAATAAAAATTAGACTCTCTTTCTTTTTACATTTAGCCAAATCAACACAAAAAGGAGAAAACCAACAAATTCTAACAGTAAAATTAAAACACGAGACAGTAACAAATTTGATAGAAAATAGCTTGAAGTATGAAAAAATTTAAAAAAAAAAAACCTTACAAAAATGTAACAGTGAACTAGAAAAATGTGCTTTCTAACAAACTCAATATCAGTCCCTCAAGAAACAAATGAACTAAGAATGTTATATTATTCACCCATGACCTACTTCTGCTACTTAGCTGCTAATTTTTTTTTCTCCTGAGTTTAAAAGAAATCCCCTATAAACTACAAGTAGCTATATTGTTATCTCAGACAATCGGATGTGTATCAGAAAATAATTATGCATCATGAGCTCAAAAAACATAGTAGCAGACCAGGGGATACTTGATTAGACTATAAGGTCATAAAATGCTTACTACAACAGAAATGGCTTGCTACTATCTGTTTCTAAAAGATGAATACAGGGACACTTCAGGAATCCACAAGGTCTCCAGGCAGGCAATACATCAATACATTTTATTATATTTTGGACAAAGAGGTAACATCCTTGCAAAAGTTTTAAAATTCTCCATTACAAAAAAAATCAATTTCTGATCAAGACTCTTATTTAGTAACAAGTAAAAAGAACTTTTGATAAAAATAATTATTTCAGGCTAAAACAAATCAAAAACAAATGTTCTGCATCAAACAAGAATAAGCTGTAAATACAAAGTAAAAGATTGGTGAATACGTTCAGAATCAATTCATCAGAAAATTTGAATCAAGAATACCAAAGTAACTGCTAAAGTTTATAGCATCACTAGTTCACTACAGACCAAAATTAACATGTTTGAAATAAAAGCAATGTTTATAGCAATATTTATACAAAAGCCAAGAATCATAAAAAATACAGAATCACACTATAAAAGGTCCTGATATTAAGTGCAAATGAAGCAGATTATATATAACATTAGGGTATGAAACTACCTTTGTTTCTTCTTAATTCAGAGATCATTATAGATACGTCCAATTTACCTACAAGTGAAAAGATATTTTCATTTGGAAGGATGAACATTGTCATCATCAATAAAATACAGGATCAGCATCCCTACTTAGATTTCACAACTATATGAAGTATTTCCCACCCACACCAATTGGCCAATTTTTGTCACATCAATGTTATATTAGCAGATAACTCAATAAGGCTACCGTCTAGAAAGGTAAGGAAGTCTAATGTACTAAACCTTAACCCCCAACCCCAATGCAAGTAAAAAGAGGAGGTTTACATAACATAAACACGATAATTAAGAAGTTTCATAGTAAATGAGCTATGATCATGTGATATGCGAAGTATGAGAAAAAACTAACATTGCACATCAAATCATCTAGATATGTTAGTCCTTAGAGATACAACATACAGTGATCAGAGTATAATGTTACTTCACATGAGTGATATTGTAATTCTATTTTTCTAATCAATCACTAAGACTAAACAAATAATAGCGGAAAGAAATTGATATTAAGCCACTCAAAATAATCACAATACAATATTATGCCAAAATCCGTATGCTAACAAGATGACATTGATCTACATGGTAGACAACCTGCCAAGACAACCTTATTCGGAATAACTAGATAAATGAAAAACCCCAACTAGTCAAGTAAAAATCAAAACCAGTACTGAACTATACCACTTAAAATAACAAGTTCTATCAATTCTTAAAGAGCACAAGTAGGGATACAATCCGAAACACACTCGACCTGGATTGATAATCTAGCATGAATGAGTTTCCAACACGTTGATCCCATGAAAACCTCAGAATATCCTGAAAAAACATAGTTTTTGTACACAACCAGAGACAATCAAACATATAAAGAAAAACTTAAATGAAAAACCAATTAAATTAAGCAATTTAGACACCTATTAACATCATCACACTCATAACACCACAGTTTATGCATACTAGACTACCTAGATCATCAAGTTACACATAATCAAAAAAGGTAAAAACTCCTAGCAGCCTACAAAAAATTCTAATTCAATAACATGTGCAATGAAAACCCGGCAAAAAAGTTCAAAAATCATACAGAGCCCAGCCCATAGATGCATATGTATATAAGTACCAACAACATTACTAAGGAGTATTCGAATTATTATAGAATCAAACAGAATTCTAACTTAAACCAGCTACAATATATCATAAAATATAGTATCATAGACTCATAGCTACAACATTTTCCGAAGATTCTCATATAATCTCACACAATGTCACCAACAAGGTTCATAATAAGTTTAATCGATATACCTCGCAGAAGTTGGACACAACATTGATCCTTGCTTGAGCACCTTCCCAACTCGCATTGAAACAAGAGGAACACACAAACACCTCGCAAGCAGCCCAACTTCAGATGTTTCAAAGTGCTGTTCATTCAACAAACAGAATCAAAACCTAAAAATTAGAATTCAAATACGAATTTCAATATCAGCAATCATTAGAATATACTTTTGAAGTTCAAAACAATCACCTGGCTGAGATGAGAGAGAAGGCGATCTTCGGCGGCACCGGAAGAAGCATTCGCCTTCAACAACGGCTTCAACCTCTCATCGGCACGACAAGCGCCCATATGTTGCACATCCAAAGCTTGAAGCCACTGCAAAAAATTGTTCTCCCTATCACTCTGTTGAAGCAAAAGGTCTCCATTACCTTCATCAACTAAAATCTCTCCCAATCGATCCGCCAAACTTGCTGATCCATTACTCTCACCATTCGCCGTTGAATTTCCGACCGAAGATTTAACCGTCGAACTCGCTTCTTCCGATTCAACATTCTCATCGCTGTTAAATCGTCGGAAATCATCTTCTCCATTAATTCTGTCGCTGTTCATCGATTCTTGCCTTTTCGAGTCCGCCATTTCTGCTCCGATTATCAAGATTCAAAACCCTAACACCTTAATTCCTCGAAAATTCCACCAAAAAATGGCACAATTTTAACAAAATTAATCGAATTAATAAATTATGAAATCCAAATCCCTAGATCAAAAGCTAAAAGTTCGTCAAATGGTAACAAAAATTCCAAGAAATCTCAGATGAATAATCGATCAATCAAAACCAAAATCTCCAGGGTAAAATCGGCGAAAATTTTCCGGTGTAAAGAAGAGAGAGATTGAGGAGAGAGAAAATGATAAATCTGCGATGAAAACCGCAGCCGTAGTTCGGAAACTCCAAAATAAGATAATCAGGGAGGAGAGAGAATATATTTATACAGCGAAAGAGTGGCGGACGTGAAGTTGTGAGGTTAACTAGGGTTTATTAGAAGAGGGTTAAATCCGGCGCGTTTTGATTAGCTAAGCCCCACGTCAAAAACTTTATGGACCACATTTAATGAAGAAAAACGCTAACCAGCGTTACGGCCTCACGGGCGTAAGAGGACTAAGGCCTTGTTTGGTTCACCTTATTTTTACTGATTTGGTCTGATTCGATCTGGTCTGATCTGATCTGATTGTCTGATTTGACCAAACTTTGACTTAAGTGTACGATAATCTATAAGGAAAAAATATATCAAGTGGGATCTTGTTAGATTCGTAATAATGTGTAGTTTATTAATATGTAATTTTCACAATTTTTTTCATTACGAAATTTAAAATATTTAGCGATAAAAAACGCACATAAAACGATATTCTGATCTGAACTTATTTTTTCTGAAATAAGTAAAAATAAGTTGAACTAAACAAGGCCTAAAAGTGAAACTAATGAACTATTAAAGTAAAATTAACTTTAATAACACCAATTGATATGCATTCATAACTTAATACGGCGTACAATTTTAAGTAATATATTAATTACTTTCAAACTTCCGGGGCGCTCGCTAGCAAGATCCTTTGATGAATTAATCTCGGTCTTGTTTAAGAATTTTTTAATCAAAGTATCAAAAATTTTAAGAGAATATCTTTAATTTTAGTAATTTAATTTTAGTAATCTAGATACGTTGTTTTAACATTGATTAATTAATAATTAATTACTGGTTTGTGGTGATTCACAAGTGGCAAATTGATAAGGTAAAGAAATGCACTTTGGTACAACATGGTAAGAAAATCAGAAAATCGATAATTAAAGATGCGATGTTGAATATCGTCACAAAACGTCGGTTTAATTAATGATTGTAAATTGCGGAATAAATTTAAGTATAATTTGAAATTAATAATTAAGTACGGAGTATCTCTAAAATTTGTAATTTCTTCATAAATTTTCGTTATTACCCAATACTCTAATAGTCAATATAAACTCTCAATTAGTTATGTATACTAATGAAATTTTGCATTGTAAACTAACTTTACCATGGAAAATAACATTGATATCCTTTCAAATTATTTTCAACCATTGTCCTTAAATAAAGGATCTTGCTTACAAGCCCCTCGAACATTAGATAACTAATTAATATATGACCTATATAGTACTCGTATTTTTTTTGGAATCTATGTCAAAATTACACGTCAATTAATGTAATTAATATTTATTTTAATTTAAATATTTTCACTTTTAGTTATTTTATCTAACATTTCGGTGGCACTCATTAGCTTTATTATTTGTTGTTTAGAGAGCCACAAGGGCAGAGGTAAGGTGAGATCGATTCCGAATCTCTTGGAATCGGGAGGAAAACGTCTTATGGGTTCATATTTTATGTATTATTAAGTATATTGCTCAAATGATTTTCTTACTAGTAAAGAGAAGACGTCTTATGGTTCATATTTTATGCTAAAAATACACTTTTATTATATTTTCTCCTTATCTTATTACAAAGTTGATGTTGATTATGATTTTTTTTCTTTTTTGTTAAGGAGTAGCTAGGTTTTAAAAAGAAGAATGCCAAGGGGGCTCCACGTAGATGTCCTATAATTGAGGGTCCCACTACGTTGGTAAAGTGATGTAAGGTGGGACCCGTAATCAGAGAAAGAGCCGGGAGAATAGCATAGAAAATACGTCGTGTGGGGTAAGTTTACTGTAGAGTCGCAGAGGTAGGCTAATTTGAGGCGATACTCTTGTCATTTTTTATTTTCTAATTGTAAGAGTAGATAATTATTTTTTATTTTCTTGGTGAAATTGTAGGAGTAGATATTATGAGTGCGAATACCTAGGGTTGGCCGACCTTTTGGCTATTATACTTATGGGCCGACTTTGAACATGCTCCTTAATTTTAATAAGATTTTTCAGACACACGTAATAACTTTGAGTATGGACATTTTTTGTGGCAATTGAATGGGTTGGGTAGTTGTGAGATCTTTATTTTATTTTGAAAGGTAACCGTACATATATGCTTTTAGAGCTACAAATAATTATTAATTTAAGAATATATTTTAAAATTAAGTACAAATTTATAATTATAAAATCACAAGAAAATAATGCGTCTTACGAAGGAAAGAAAGGAAGGGTACTTTTCATTAACGTTTGTCACACTTTCTCCTCCAGCTAAGGCAAAGGAACATCATTTTACTTGGTTTTGAATCTTGTGATAATCCTTTTGGACTCCAGTAAACATCAACGTATACTTTGGTGCCAGACAATAGCAAGTGACTATAACACGTAGCTATCCTTGTCGTCATAAACCCAAATATAAGGTGTATACTGAAAGCAGAATGCTTTGATAATTTACCGCTGCTCAAGATGCTGAAGCGCTGAGCTCCGATGGCAGCAATACATAAAGTAATGTGTGTTTGACAAAAAAATTAATATGAATAACACAATAATTAATAATCCAGCCATTTTTTTTTTTTTTTTTTTCTCCCAAGGCTTACAAATCAAGTTTAACATTTTACAATTTGGCTACTCGTAATATGAAACCCTTGCTTGACCATTCACAACAGAAGCTGCATTTCCAGAGACTCACATGATTCCTTCCTTCATCAGAATACGGTATCATAGTTAAAGCCCATAATTGGCTCAACTCCGCCATGATTTTACTTCACTTTTTTTTTATTTGCAGCTGGAAAGGTATACCTATATGGTGAGGATAAAACAAGCCTACAACTATTGAGGCTTTGATAAGGCACCATTCTTTGAAAGTAATAGACGTGCTCCTTTCACTAATTCCTCCTTAATCATAAATAGAACGGCAGCTGCAAGAACACTTTGTACAATCTTTGTGCTCATCCCTTTGTAAAATCCAGACAAACCCTCGTTATGAACTATCTTCGTGAGCGCATCAAATGTACCTGAAATGGTAGAACCAAATAAATAAGTGATAATATGGCACAGCATACACAAGAAGTTCAATCATAAACGCAAAAGAATGGAAGAAATCATTCAAGGCAAGATAAACTTCTCGATGTCTAATGTACGCCTCCACAAGCATGGTCATGGTGCCTTGAATTGAGAAATGAATTATCAATAGACAATATTGGCATTAGTTCCAAAAGTTATTGTGTGGCTCATTCTAGGTTGCAAAGCAATGCACCAGGTTAATAAGTTCAGAAAAAATAAGTAAGATAATTTAAGTTCAAGAAAAGTAAGGCCACCCAAGTTCAATTTACGGCTAATATAAGTTATGGTAAGTTCGAATAAGTAATAATCTAGTTAATAGAATGCACCCTATAGTGTAAAATATGTGGGGGTATAATTAGCCTTAAAGCCCCGATAGTCATAATAAGCCCACTAATGCATACATTGAGTTATGGATGTTTACAACATTACAAGTAGAATTCTGCTACCGTTGAAGTCATCTTGGTCCTTCTGTAAGGCACATGACTCTCTATCAAGTAGAGTTAGTGGATAAATGAGTAATGTTTGAAAGGTAGGAACATTGTCTAAAGGTCCTCAGTGGTACCCTTCTCACGGGCAAAAAAGTTGAGGAAGTGAAAAGTAAATAAACAGTTAGCAAATGGTGATATTGTGGTTATAAGGACCTGCAACAGCACCTTCCAAATTGGATTGGTCTAATTCTGTTGGGTGTTCTTTTCTTCCATACACGCACATAATTTTAATGGGTTCAAATGCTTTCTAAGTTCTACCTGCACGATATCCAGGAGGATCACACATGCTGTCTGTGATTTACAAATGAAATACAAATTCCTCCCACACCTCATGACTGGAATAGCATTGTTAATTGCCTGATTCAGAGGGTAAAGAAAAAATCTAGTGATACTCAGATTGTGTGCTGTAATTCATAGAAGTATTTGTGCAATACAGGAAGCCAGAAACCCTCAAATATACGTCAATCAGTCTAGTGATCCTATTGTGATTGCTGAAAATCTTTTTCTTTTTGATTAGGATGGTTGTAGATATCAGGCAAGTACTATGTTTTTCCTTCAATTATAATTCTGTAATGTGGTTGTGCCTGAAGCCAAGGGCAACCGGTCATTAAAGGTGGCTCTAAGGTTATGAACCTATGACCTCATGGGAATGGGAGTCTCCATTTCAACTCAAGTCTCCATCTTGTTTCTTGTAACTCCAATATGATTATGAACAGTTGACAGTTGAATGATTAACATAGAAAATTTTCTTAGAAAGACTGAGTCTAACACCAACACACTACCTGGTGTTGTGTTTTAGAATTGGGTCGTTGGATCAAAAAATGGGAGAAAATTATTAAGCAAAAGATTACATGCCTTTGTAGTGATGCTTTGTGTCTGTGCCAGCAATTTGCTTTGCTTGAAGCCTCGACTGCAAAGAGGAGCAAAACAAATAATTAGATGGCTTTTATACTTCGCATATAAATGGAGGTTTGGGAGTTGGGACATCACAACACAAAAAGGTTTAAATTAAAGGAATGTGAGGGAAGGGGCAACGAAAGTCAGCCTAATAATCTAATCTGCTTCAACAAACCTTTGTCAAAACAATTTGTCATTTTCTGCACCCATTGGACAGCAGCATTCAGGGGTTACTTTAAAGCAAAAGTCCTAACTAATTTTCCTACTTATTTCAAAGAACTAAAATAACTTTTGTGAAAATACCTAACTGACGATCTTTAATTAGATGTGTTAATGTTGCATACAACTAATTCTAACCAGACCTAGCCTAACGCAAATAGTAGAAGGTTGTTGCTGTAATGAGAATATAGCCAAATTCAAGATGTCCATCTCTGTGTAAATTTTCACCACCAACCATTTTCTAAAACCCAGCTATTAAAAAATATGAAGTCTTTACCTTTACCACCAAAAGGGGATATGTCACGACAGTAGCTCCAAGCTTTGCTACAGCCCCAAGTAAAAATGTCTACCAACACAAATGCAAACAATTCAAATGAATTGAAAATTAATAGGCAGTGAACAAGAAAATTGGGAAAAGGGGAAGTGCAGTTTTTTAAACAAGCAGGAAGTGAGCAAGCCACAAATGTGATGCCCAGAATTTGGTGACACACAACTTTTAAATTCAGATAAGTACAAACCTCTAAAGCAGTTACTCCCTTGCTACCATTTTTATTCATTGCACGCCTCTTCCTCAGCTTTTCTAATAGGGTCTCATACAGCATGAACTGTATAGAAGGATTACTTACCTGCAAACCCATCACACATGGTCAATCACATACCTTTTGTACGAAACAAATTTAAAAAAAATATAACAAAGAAATAACTTGGGGATATATACCATTATCAATGTTGGTATTACACCTTTCCAAAAGCCCCAGAATCCAGCTTCATCATAAACTTCTTGAATCTACAAAATACTACTGTTTGTCAGAGCAAAAAACAGTGCACTCAAAGACCACCCCCTCCTTTAAAGAACAAACTAGATGCACAATCAAGAAGCACCATAATACTTTTTAATAAATAAAAGACGGATCATTTTAAAAGAAGACTTGTGTCAAGCACTCAAAGTCTAAGGTCTTTTGTCTTTGTACATTTATGACCCCTCTTCTTTGGCACAATAAGCCTACATACAAGAAAGAGAAGCTTATTCCTGAAAAAAAAAGTTAAATTCATCCCTTGAACAAGATACTTATACAATTATAAACATGGCAATCATAGGATTAAAAACAACTAAAACATATAAACTCTAATGAAAAGAAGAGAGTACAAGGCATAACATTTACATACTGCATGGCTAGTTCCATAAGGTGGTGGCTCTATTGCAACTAAACTATCTTCAGGAGATCTTATAGCTTGATTGGGCTGTACTTTCTTGGAAGCCTTAGTGTGCGTCTGTGGAAAATAAAGAAAATTAGCATTATGTACACCAAAACATTTGACTCAACCTGTCAACATCCTTCAAATTAAGTAAGAAAAAAGGGATAAGTTACGGATGTTAGATGGCAGGCAATGTAGTCAAATGCAATTAAACAATATTCCGGAGAAAAATGTTCTCAGGGTGTTTGATGGAAAAAGGGGGCAACATCATCTAACATATATACTCAGAAAAAAAAAAAAAAAAGACCTTGACATTTACTTCCATGAGTTAGGACTCTAACAGGATTGAAGTGGAACAGATAGAGGTCAGGGGCAATAAAAAAATTAGCAAAAACAGCATGCCCAAAGATTGGTACGGGAATATATTAGACTCCCAAGGATTTAACCAGAACGATAGGTAGATTGGTAAGCAAATTAATCTCAATTCAAGTGTTGTGGTGTCATATCCAGCTAGTCTTATCTCCTGCCCATTATTGAGGTTCCAACAATATTTTAGGAAGCTTACTGAGAATCTAGCTTAGCTTGGAATCTCATGAGTGTTAATACGTACCAGACTTGATGAAACTTCAGTCATAAACAACAGGAGAAAGGATTTGAAGGAGACGACACAACACTAATTGCGATGCGAATCTGAAACTATTATTGATTAATGGACTGGAAATAAATTATTAAAAAAAAAAAAAAAAAAAAAAAAAAAAACACTAAATCTTAACAACTGATGTTTGTTCCAGTAGGAGAGGGATTTTAGCAGCAGCAAAACAAATTCACTACAAAACAAAAACAATAACACCACCCAGATAGCTGGTGGGCAAGAGATTGATGTGATCAAAGAATGTGTTTAAAGTAGTTCAGATAAAGTAAAATATATTTCTTATTGTGCTTCAGTTTAAAACTTCTTACCTGCATCCGAATGACAATAACCCATATGGGATTTGTCAGCAACACATTTGTACACCTAAAAAAATGGAGGAATTAAGAGTGTGTTGATCAGATAATAGGTTACAGAGCAATAGGATCAAATCAGGCTCTATAAAACAAATTTAGGAATTAAGAGTGTGTTGATCAGATAATAAAGCATCAATTACGTGTTCTGGTTATTATATGACTAGCACAATCAAAATTATCAGTAAGAAATAACCATCCAATCATGACCCATTGTGTGGGGTCTATGAAAGGAAGATGTAGCGCACCTTACAATAGAATAGTAAGGGTGGACAAGGCATGCGAAGGCCACGGTAACATACACACACACAAGAAACAAGTGACAATTACACAAGTATGAAAGGCCTAACTGCAAATTCATATTCACAAAAGAATGAATATAACACAGTAATCAAGAACTTTTTTTTAAAAAAAAAAAGGAAAAATTTTATTGTAAACCTTCTTTCAAAAAAATCAAAAAATTATGAACTCCACAAAGTCCCATTCTGAGTCATGCCATCAAAGTCAAAGCTGTGACTTTTGTTGGGAAAATCAAGCACAATGTTTTATTAATGAGTACCTTTTAAAAAAAATTAGTCATAGAAAGCAGATTTAATAGGTAGGCAAATTGTTCAGGTGTCCTAACATCCTCCTTCTATACACAAGATTGAACTTATATTCATTTCATCATTTGACTTCACCAATGCCCTACTTCCTTACCAGGGGCAAGAGCTGGCTCTGCAAAGTGAATTAAACTCCAATAGCAATTTTACAAAGACAAAGCATGATACAGGAAACAGGACATGTGATATGCGATATGCTATCAAACATATGTTCTAATTCTTTTAGCAAACATATCACATACTCATTTCATGCTACCCATACAAATATACAATATACTACCTCCGTTTTTTTTTTTAGTTGACACCATTCTATTATCACGCTTGCCTATGCACAATTTTAACGATTAATATCTCTAATTATAAACATTGTAAAATTATAAAAAGTGGATATTAATAAAATATACATTAGGACGATTCAAACAAGATCTCACATGACTATGTTTTATCGTAGCTATAGATCACAAAAGTTAGTCAAAGTATAGTTGGTGAATAGTGCAAAAGTCAAATGGTGTCAACTAAAAAAGACAGAGGAAGTAATATTTTAGAAAATTAACTTATAAGAAAGTACAAGAGGCAAAGTCATGTTTGAAACACCTCAAAATTACTTGTAAAACTAAATTTTAGAGGAAGCGTGAAACTGTGCATGTTGCAATATTTACAGAACGGACGAAGCTTTTTTTTTTTTTTAACATTTGTTGGGCTCAAGTCTTGCAATTATAAAGCTTTCGCTCGTGTATTCTGTTCAATACCAGATTTTCTTTTTTATTTTAAGGTGTTTCAAACATAACTTTGCCTCTTGCCCTCTTGTACTTTGTTAAACTTGAGTTAGAAAGGCGAGGAATATTGGACAACAAAGACTCTGACAATGCCTTAAAGAAATAAAACAATAAAACAAAATTATAGAATATCTAAAACAGAGAACAAAATTGGAAAAGTAATTACCCAGACATAGCAGCCACAATTAATGATGATAACATGCCAACAGATCCATCACCAAGTCCTCTCTTCCTGCGGTCAAGAGCAATAGCTTCAGCCTTATTCCTGAATATTTGATAGAAATAATAGTAAACACCCTGTATCATAAGAATATCAAATGAGGATCGAGGAAGAGAAATCAACAAGCAAGTTCAAACCACCTAAACGTTATAGACCAACTTCAGCTTGTAAACTAAGTTCAATTACATGGTAACCTAGCTTCTAATAACCATCCCCCACTTAAATGCCTTGGACAAAAGGCAAGGAGGCAAGAGAAAAGAAATGGGTGCAATAAAGGTTGTACTTGACTCTTTATAGGGCTGCGAAACAAATTGTAGATATAATAAGAAAGAACCAGGCATAACAATTACTTTATTCACTCATTAATAAGAAAGCATACTGTTCTTATATCCCCTATAATTCATCAATTAGCCATACATTTGAGTATATTTCAACACTATAGCATGTCAATGACAACTACCACCAAGCATAGCATTTTCGAAAAATGAAACAACAGGGGAGCTTTTTTATTGTGTAATCAAAGATGAACAAGAAGAAGAAAGAAGTTATTAATTCACTGCTCCAGAAATATCTGACTCATGCTATTCTCATGAACCAGCAAGGAGTAATAATTGATTGTATGACTTCTTTTCTATTAGATTCTGCTTAGATATGCAGGTCACAACCTTAGTGAAGGAATAATGTTTCAGATTGCATTATCCTAACTCAAGCCAACAGCCCGCCAAAATCAAAACAGGATTAAGGTCAGAATTAGGTGCCACTGTGCCAGTCTGCCAGATATAATTGTTACTCCGCATATAAGAAATCACCCATGATGAAAAAAGTCAAGACAGCTCGCAGCCTCGCGCACAATTCTTGAACTGCAATAGCAATCCCATATACCCCCTAATGCGCAAATGATAGTCACAAACTCAGAGTCACAGTTAAATACTCTGTAAGTTTTTTTATTTGACAGGAAAAATACTTCGTAAGTTAATGTTACTACTTCGTAAGTTAATGTTACTCTATAAGAAAAAAAATAGATTTAGAATTTCATTTCCAAAACATACCATAATTGTAGCAGATAAGGATATCAAATAATTTGACATTAATTATGGAAAGAAGCAAAATATAAAAACAAAATTTACTTCTTCAACCAGCACCATACAAAATGAAAGTAGCAATGCCAAATATCACTAGTGGACAAAAATTACAAAAACATTCCCTTCATTTCTCTTCAATAGCCACATTTCAATTTAAGGATGTCCAATATAAGATACATCACTCTCGGCAAGTTAAATTTCGAATTTCCTCGTATTAATCTCGCTATTTGGCATTATACTAAGATAACCATTTATAAAATATTGTAACCAAACGTGGCATATTAAAGTGCGACGGAGGTGTATTATTGACAGAAATTTCTCACCTGAGAAGCAGCAGTACCTACTAATGACGGAGTCAAACCTCCATATAGCCTCCCCCATCCTTCATGCTTCACAACCTAAATATACACCCAAATTCACACGAAAATCCGAAATCCAATCAATATTAAAGCTCAAATTTTAGAAATATACCTTCAAAATAAATTTCAAAAATAATGAACCAAATACCTGACACATTTGTTCAAGAGTTCCAAGCTTCTTCTTCTCCTTCTTTGGGTCCCGATCCGTTTGCTGCCGAGTGTTAACCTAATTTCAGTATATTCAAAAATAACACCAATGATCAAAATTGGACCATCGAATTTCAAGTTATTTCAAATTATGCAAATGAAAAATTGAAAATGAAGAAGAGAGGGAAAGAGAGGAGTACAGTTTGAAGAGGATAGGTGATGAGCTGAGCGATGATACCGCCGCCGGCGCCGGCGAGGCCATTGATGAGAGCATCCGACATACTGCAACAAAATTGTTGATTGGAAAATGAGGGTTTGTTGATCGATGAGAGGAGAGAGGAAATGAGGGGGGAGAAGACGGTATCTTGACTTTGGATGTAGCGAATGCAAGTTCGCTTTCAGTTGTTGCGTTTCAACATCAATTTCATCAAGTTTGATGTGAAGGAGAAGGAGAGTTTTGCGCGTGGTTGTTGCGTTCGAGTAATAATTAATCATTCTCCTAATTATAGCCCAAGATATTTGGGGATATTATTATCTGTACTGTCTATTAAAAGACGCTTTACATGCTCAAAAATATGATCTTACAAGATTTGAAAGTATTGAAACCATAATCTTAATTTTAAAATTCTAACATGTTAGTCAGCTATTACCATATTACTTAGTACTTACTGTTTCGGGGTTTTCTGATGTTCTGCGGGAGAGTTACAATTCCGAGACTGGAACCGGACGCCTGTACCTGCAAAATAACGGAGACTCCTGAGAGCTCCGCCTCCAACGGTCAAGTTAGTACCTGATTAAGGAGTAATTAATACGGAAATTAAAGTAATAAGACCTCTCTAGGTGAGAGTGTTTAATGTTGGTAATCTGCTTTGTTAGCGAGATTAGCCGGTTATTAGTGTTCCGTAATGTTTCTGTCCTTCTCTGTTCTTCAGGTGAGGTTAATTGCTTGATCAATTGCCTCTCAATTGCTTGATCCCTTTTAATGAGGATTAATTAAGTATTTATAGTCTTGAGAAGCGTGCCACTCTCTAGGTTTAGGGTAAACCTAGGGCTGACCGGGCCTCTAGACAGGATTGGGCCTTGTTGGCCGGTTTTCCCATTTGGCATGGGTGGACACGTGGCGTGCCTCGATTGGTCCGTAGAGGACGTATCTGTGATTGACACGTGGCAGGGTCCTATTGGCCTTCGTGAAGGACACGTGGCGGAACCTGGTTGGTCCACTTGTCAGACGGTGATTGGTGGATAAAAATCCTCTAATCATTTGCCCCTCACAGGTGGCACGTGACTGGTCACGTGTCGCCTGTGACAGGTGTCGCACGGTGACAGGCGACGGCCTGCTACAGGTGTCACCTTGCAAACGGCCGAGAGATTTTCCCGCCCAAATTTTGAATTTGGAAGCGACCCTTCGCCTTCTCACTTTGCCTATATAAGGAAGTGCTGACTTCGGTCATTTTCACATTTGAGAACTTTGCGAGAACATTCGGACCCCTGAACTTGCTCTGACATTTCGGACCTTTTCTGCCTACCGCCTGTTCTGACAAGCCGACTGCACCGGATTTCCAGAACTTCATCAACCGTCACTCGTTCAGGTAACTCAGTTCTCTTACTCTTAATTTTCTTTTTATTTTTTGAAATGGCACCACGGAAGCACACGACACGACCTAAGTTAGTGATCAGCCGGTCACCGGGGACGGCTGAATCTAGGACTAGGAGTGCCGCCTGCCCTTTTCTGGACCCATCTTTGCCCTTTATACAAAGTCCGACTGTATCTGTGTCTATGCAGAACGTGATGGCCAGAACAAAAAAGACTGCTATGATATCAAACTCAGACGGCTCCTCCCAAAGGGTGCTCATTAGTGAAACATCTGACCAGGCGCCAGATGTAGAATTGAAACGAGGCGGCTGCCAAGCCGACAGTTCTGAGAGAGGGGCCAAGGTGGTCCCTTCCCATCTTACCGTTGATATGTCTAATTTTCCTCCTGCTCCTTCTAAGGGAGAGGAGGCGGGCCCCTCTGGGAGAGGGGAGGAGTCGTCCTCTTCGGACTCGTCAGAGGACGAGTCCGAGTCCAGCTCTTCTGGCCACAGTTCTCCAGGCTCAGAAGAAAGACATAGCCGCCTACAAGAGGCGAGACTTTCTCATGCAGTTGAGAAGGGGGACAATTGGGCGGAGCCGTCCGCCTCTTACAGAGAGGAAAACGCCCCCTACTACTGCATGGTACCCCGGGGCCGGATCGCAACCATGCAAGACAAAGTGGAGAGCTTTATTGCTAACCACAGAATGGGCCCGGAATTTTTACTGTTCGTGCCGGATCCAGAAGACACTGTCGTCTGGCCGGCTGGTACCAGCTATGATGACGGCTGCTTTGGCTGCTATGTGGCGGCCATCAAAGCTGGACTGCGCTTCCCATTACATCCGGTTGTTCAGCGGATTTTAGATGGGTATGATTTGGGGTTATGGCAGTTAGCCCCCAACTCTTGGGTAAACGTACTCGGCTATGTGGCCGGGTGCGAAATGTACGGGGTGGAGCTAAGCTTTGAGGCTTTCGCCCACATGAACTATCTCAGCCGGACCCCTAAGTCGGGAGGTACCGGCTGGTATCAATTAACAAGCCATAGGGGTTACCTCATGACGAGAGGTAAGGCGAACAAATGGAAGGATTGGCGGAACACCTTCCTTATCATTGAGGGTTCAGACACGGAGCTGAACCAACGTTTTAACAAGTGGAATAGGGATCCGCCTCTTCTCGCAGGCGGCCGCAGCATGCCGCCTGTTCCCCCAAAGGCTAAAAGAGAGATCCTAGACAAAGGACTCTTCAAAGTAGAGACTAGGGTGAACTCTACTTCAGGGGTACGAGAGCAAGTACCCCTAAACTGCGTCCCGAGCTTCAAGTGGCTCTATGACGAGTACTTTTTGGCCGCCTGTGGCCTCAGCAGTCGGTGCTCTAGAGGTAGCCGGCCTGACAAATACTCTGTTTTTTTTTTCACGCCTTGTTTACTTGGGATCTTTACTAACTTTGCTGTTTATTTTTTGCAGCTGACGCCATGAGTAAAATAACAGCATCCAAGACTGTGGCGGCCATGTTGCGGGCCTCTCTCATGCAACAGTCTTGTGCCGACTCCCCCAACAAGGGGGCACCCTTGGTAGGCTTCGAAAACTCTTCCTCTTTTAGGAGTTGTCTTATGCATATACTAACTCTTTTTGTTTTCAGTCTGGCACTCCAAGAGCTTCTTCCTCGCAACAGCCGGACCCCAAGGCCCGGAGGACGACTGTTGCAAGCTCTCCTGGGTCTTCCAGGAAAACAGTGGCGGCTGAGAAGCAGCCGGCCACTTCTTCTAAAACCCCGGCGGGGCCGCCTAGAAGTATGGACAATCACTTGTAAAAACTTTCACACTTGCTTCCTTCTTGACTAGGTCTAACTTGCTTTTTTTACGCTTGATGCAGCCGGCCCTCAGGGGCTTGACTTGGTTGAGGTAGCCAAGTCCATGATCAAAGTAGTTCCTCCATCTGAAAGGGAGGCGGTCAGGGGTGCCGGCACCCTTGACCTTGATGGGATTGCAGGGGTCCTTGCTGAGGTATACTTAGCATATTTTTGAGTATTTGAGTTCCAGGACGCCTGTTATCTTTTTTGTTTGGAAACTGACGCCTGTTTTTTTTTTGTACTTAGGCCCTGCTCCGAGTTAACAGCCTTCGCAAGCCGATTGATCGGAAAAACAAAGAGGTAAAGGCCGCAAAAGATATGGCCGCCTCCAACTGTGATAAGGCAATGTTTCAAATTGCCCAAAATGAAGTACTGACCATTGATATTCTTTATTATCAGGCGCAGGCTACCGCCGCTGTTCGGGCTCAGTTAGAGGCGGCCCAGAAGAAGAATGACGAGCTGGAGGCGACCGTCACAAATCTTAAGGCCGAGCTGAAACCTCTTCGCCAAAAAATGCACTCTTACGAAGCCATGGAGAAATCTTTGGCCAACGTAAAAGAACGCCTGGTGAGCCAAGAGAAGAGTCTTACCCAAGAGCTCTCGGAAAAGGCCGAGCAAGAGAAGAAAGAGCTCGTCCGGGAGATGGTGGAAGACTCCACTCAAATCCAGCGCATGACCTGGGGCCGCCTGTTCCCCAATGCCGACTATGCCTCATGGGAAAGAACGTACCGCCAGTGTTCGGAAACATATAATCAAGAGATCCTGGCGGCTGCTGAAGAAGAGGCGTTGGGGGAAGCGTTGGAGGAGGAGGAGCCGGTAGTGGCGCTTGTGCCGCTTGGGGGTAAGGCATCAAAAAAGGATGCAGCTGAAGCCGAGTCCAGCAAGAAGAGTGCTGACCAGGCGGCAGCTGCTAATACTGAACTGCCCCCTTCTTAAGCTTTATGTATTCTTTCCACGGCCTGCGTGCCGTTTGCTTTGTATTTACCCGGCCAGGGGGCCGGGGCTTTGAATATTCTGCTGGTCTTTAATGACCGGCTTATTTTTAATCAAATTTTTGTTTTGATTCAAATTTGTCTAAGTATTCCATATCTAATATCCCATTGTTCACTAGACCGACTGTTGTACATGGCCGAACGTTGCAGACAGGTACAAATAGTAAGTACGCCGCCTATGCCCCTGGACGACTGGTTGTCTGTTTCCAGGATAGACGATTAGTCGGCCATTTATTCAATCGGTATTCGAACTATTTATTCAATCGGTCTGACCAAGTAAATAGTATTACCTAGTCGCCAAGGAATTAAGTAGGATAACAAGCGGCGGGTACCGGTTGTTTCCCTTTATTGCCAATGTTGGCTTTTAACTCGTAATTTGTTAACCTAGCAAGAGTAGTGGTTGAGAGCCCCTGTTTATTAAAAACAGGCGGACGACTCATACCTTTTAGGCTCCATACTAAGTTTGAGTGACTATTAAGTTAACATAGGAGTTACTTAGTCTTCGTCACAATCTAGATTGAGTAGTAGAGGTACCAGGCGGCGTAGGCCGGCTAGACCCCTTGATTCGCCAATGTTTGTTGGCTATTAACTCAATAGGTACCCCCTGCATTTATCCCAAGTAATACAGGCGGTCATCTGACTCAGATGTCAACTGCTACCACTGGTTTGGTTAGTGATAGAGTTATCCTTGTCTCAAAAACGGCTACGTGGTTGCCCTTGGGGACAGTCGTATAGGTGTCGTGTAATTAGTTTATAGAACAATGTTCCACCCAAAAGGGAGCTGCTCTCTGCGACGAATTTCATCCGGAGGGATGCCGTCGGACGCCTGCTATGATGTTGGGACATGTCGTATTAGTTTTGTAGATTTGATCAGGTGGCTTGGCGCCTGGTCTGATCATTCGGCCGGTGGCCTTGGTAAGTTCTTGGTGAACGTAGGTGCTAAGTAAAAGAAGGGTAGCCGCCTGTTAGACACAGGGTCGGCCAGGCCCTAATCTTTTTAGCTAAGTATTGTGAGTAAAATACTCAATGGAGAGTAGCCGACTGTAAAGGTACAGACGGCATGCCCC